CAGAACATACATCTGTCCAGGGCTGAGACGCTCTGGGCTGCTGGGTCCAGGTGCCAGGTCCAGACACTGGAATGGAGAGCAGGAAGATGGTCTCTCCTGTGCTCTCAATGACATTTTTTCCTCTCCCCTCTCTCCCCTCTCCCCCGCCCCAATGGATGCAGACAGCATGGAAGTGGAAGCTGCCTGATTCAAATGCAGAGGAGACAAGAGCCAGACCTGCAGGGGGCAGCAAAGGGGAGTAGATTGGAACAAGGAACCTGAGGGAGAAAACTGGGACTGGAGGCTGGGCAGTAGGGGAGGGGAACACTGGGATTAGGAGCTGAGGTGGAGACTCTGACTGGCTGGGCAAGAAGACTGGGACTGGAAATTAGGGAGGGAAATCGGGGCAGACCGGGAGCCAGTAGGTGGTAGGGAGACCGTGATCACAGGAGGAACTGGTGGGAGTCTGGGCAAGGGGACTGAGAACTTGGCAAGGGGACTGAGAACTAGTGTAATGGGGGAAAAGAAGTAAGTGGTGAAGGGAGACAGATCTGAAGAGGAACCATAGTGCAGGTGTAGAATTGGGATTGGCTGGACAAAGAGACTGGGATAAAAAACCCAGGGCGTGGACAGGGAGCTAATGAGGTGGGGGAATGTGAGCAGAGGTGTGGGTGATTGGAGGCTGTGGGTCGTGAGAAACTGATCAGCTGAGGAGCCAGGAATGGGGGAACTGGCTGATCAAGGAGATTGGGACTGGGAACAGAGGAGTGGGACACTGGGACTGAGGCAGGGGATCGGGAAGAAAGAAAGTAGAACTGGTTGGGCAAGGAAACTAGGACTGCGATGAGACGTCTGAGGAGTGGAGACTGGTACAGGGACAAGGAGTTAGGGATAGGGAGGAGACATGACTAGGACAGGAACAGTTTAGAGGGGACAGGGCAGAAGGGATCATGGTTGTGGGGAATTGGCAAAAGAGTATGAGCTCACTAGTGCACATTATCCTCCAGAGGCTGGAATGGAACTTCACATTCCTGAGTCTCACCTGCTGTGCTGTCAGCAAATATTTGTAAAATCTCTTGTAAAGGTCCATCCCCCTCTGGTGCTGGGGGGTGGGGGGCAAATTGGTATTATTTGTATCACAGTAGTGCCTAAAGACCCCAGGTGAAATCAGGGGCCCAATGTGCTAGGTGCTGTGCAGACTAGAGCTATGCAAATAACCGATTTGTCAGTTTGGTGGACAAATTGAAAAGTAAATATATATGTGTGTGTGTGTGTGTATATATATATATATATATATATTATCATTTGGCATTTAACAAAATGTTTAGTTTTGTTCTTGAGTTTTTACCTTTAAAAAAAATTCAAAGCAAAGTTGTTTTGAATCAAAAAGTCAAAACTTTTTTGACTTTTTCTGAATTTGTGTTTTGTTTTTTGACTGAAAGAATTGAGCGAATGTGACACAAATTCACACAATGTTTTGAATGACCCAAATCTGCATTTTTAGAGGAAAAAAAAGTTTCACCCAAAGAATTTTGTCCTGTTCTAGTGAAAATATATAGTGAGAGATTGTTCCTGTCCCAAAGAACTTGCAATCTGAATTGAAAAGACAAGGGATGGGAGGGAAAACAGAGGCACAGGGAGGTGAAGTGACTTGTCAAAGGTCACATAGTGGGTAAGAGGCAGAGCCAGGATTAGAATCCAGGTTTCCTGACTCCCTGTCCAGTGTGCAATCCACCAGACCATGCTGTCTGCAGTCTCATATACGCAATGACATACAAAAATGTACTGTCAGAGTACCCCAGCCACCCCTAAAATATCACCTAATCCAAGTGGCCCGTGACCTTGTTAGTTGCCTAATTTCAGGTAACCCTCACAGTAAAAGTGGCTTGAGTAGGGATTTGAATGAAGAGGGAATAATAGCCTTTACTAATTAGTTCAGGGAGGGCATAAATATAAAGACTATACCTTCATCACCACTAGAGAAAACTCTGGGCCTGATTTGGCAATGTTATTCTAGTTTTACCCCAGTGTAATCCTGGGAGTTAACACTGCCATAAAACTGGAGTAACGCATTAGTGAATCAGGTCCAAAGTGTCATAAAATAACGAAAATAGCTGTATTTCTGAACCTTTAGCATAACATGTTGAGGGTAGAATAGTGATGTTTTTATATAAATTAATCATGCTGGCACTTTTTATTGCTTTCAATGTCCTGATTAGGAATGTAAATGTCACTACTGTATGTCAACATTCATAAACTTGGCTTTGACAGGGAAGTTGGGAGTAAAACAGTTTGTCCAATAAATATTAGCTGAGTGCCCAAACCATTAGTGTTTGGATTTACTTTTAGTACTGTACATTCATATTTTAGTGAGAAAAAGACCATTGTTATTGGCAGTCTATATGGTAATTGTTCTACGTAATTATTTGGGGAGAGTCCTGTGACCCAGAAACATGGAAACAACATGAGAAGATGACATCTTGTTAATAAATCCAGTACACACAGTTGTGTTACCTTTATGCAGTCTATGTAAGGCAAGTGCATTGTCTGTTGCCATATTGACTGGCAGGTTTCAACATTTAGAAGGCTGGTGTTTTTCTGAATGCTGAAGAAATGACTGATTAGGAGGGTGAGATCGGTATGTCTGTATGTGTATGTGAACAAAACAGATACAAATAGTGGAGCTACACAGATTTACACCAGATGAAGATCTGATCCAGAAACTGTAGACAGACGAGTATACACCATGCTGTACTGTGCTGTGACAAAAAGATTTTATTATCATGTGTTTGGAATAATCATGTTACTCAAGTGGCAACCGCATGAATGAATCACACAGATAATCCCACAAGTGCCTATAAAACCTTCACATCACACCCTATTGAAGTGCATTCTGTATATACCTCATATGTTACAAATGCTATTTTAGAAATGTTTTTTAAAATGTTTTGGACTATTTTTTAATCTTTGTAAATGGACAGATACAGCCATGAAATTCAAATTCAGAATGAGATCAGAATCCACATTTTCCCAGCTTTTTTTTGGAGTGTTTAGATCTGGACCACACATCTTGGGTGCAAAAAGGGCTCAAATCTGATGCCAATACATTTCAAGAATGTTCAGATTCAGATCTGGATCCAAACTGCATGGCTTAAGTTGATGCTTGTTATTCAGTAATGTATGTATGTGTGAACACAAGAGCACATATAAACATGGAGAAAGCCAAATTCTTCTCTGTTACACTAGTGCTAATCTGGAGTAATTCAAATCAAACTGGAGTAACTATATATTTACAGCATCATAATTAAGGATATAATGCAGTCCGTAGTCTCCAGAGTATTAAAGAAAATCATGGCCCATCTCCTGAAAATGCTCACTGCTTGTAAATGCAAACTGGGTTGAAATTATATAATTTTTAATAATGCTTTCTGCATTTTCAGCCTTATTTGTTAGGTCCAGAGATTATTATTTCTTTTTGGCAACAGTAAATCCATCATTCTCTAGTTTCCCCATCTTGGAAATTGTTTTTCTTATTTTATAGTTGGCATCATCCTCAAAAGAAAACAAACAAGCTGCAAGTCAGTGAAAGAAAAGAAAAGGAACATTAAAGAAAGGAAAAGAAAAAAATCTTCAAATCATATTTAGCCCCATCTGGCCTTAGAAAAACATGGAAACGGGTGATCAAGTACATTTTCCAGGATGGCTGCCTTTCAAGGGAAACAAAATCTGGATATTTCTATGTCTAGACCACAGAGGGAAAAAATGCTTTAGTGTTAATTAACCCAGTGAAAGTATAAAAACCCTGAGTGGTACTAGACAACATACACAGGGAAGTTAGCAGGTTTATGCAGCCAAGGGACATGGAGGCGAGGGAGATACTGACTAGGGTATAAGAGTGGGAGGCAGGAGATCTCTGAATAGGCTTGCTATGTGGCTTTAGGTGAATGAGTCAATTAACTTCTTTCTGTCTCATTTTCCCCATCTGTGAATTGGGGCTAGTGATACTTACTCTCCTTTGTAAAGCTCTTTGAGATCTACAGATGAAAAATGCTAAGTATTATAGTTGCAGATGGGATGTAGTTTATGAATCATCAGGTCATTGCTCAAGTATAACCATTTTCTGCAAGTTTATGTGCCAGTTAGATTTTAATTGTTTAACAACTGGGCACTGAGTATGTAAAGAATCACATACTTTAAGTCAGGATCTGTGGTTATAAGGGTGTGTTTATTACTAGAATGTCTGTACATTACGTACATTTCTCATCGCCATAAGAGATCAGTAAAAGGGAATATAGTTATGTTTAAGAGCGGTCTAGAGAGTTTTATGGCCATCAGTTGCTGGTCAGAATATTCAAATATAATACTTCAGGTTGTCATCTGACCTTACAGGAGTCACTAAACATGCGAGTCAAACACACAACCTCCATTATTACTCTTATATTTTTTTAAATGCTGACTGCACTTTAGTGCTTCTGGAAGTGTAAGGATAACAACAGTAACTTCATCCAGGCAGTACTTCACTCTTCTCTTCCAGTCCTCATGGGTGCGGGGGGTGCAGCTGCACCCCCTGCCTTGAAGTGGTTTCTGTTACATACAGAGTTCACAGTTTGGTTCAATGGCTCTCAGCACCCCCACTATACTAATTGTTCCAGCTCCCCTGCCAGTCCTCCTCGAGCCCTGCCTGCAACAATGTGCTAGTGCTCATGAGCAGAGAATGGAAATCTTCGCTGGGTGGCAGTTGTCTGAGTTTGACAAATATCCACTGGGAGACTAGAATGAGACCAAACAATCTTTTTCTAACTTGTAACTTAAGAGAAGTGCCTCAACAGAAGTAGGATTGTCTGGCATTGGGGATTTATGTCCTGCTCCTTTACCAGCTTTCTCTAGCTCCTTGGCAACCTGTCCCATCTTCCATCCACCTCAGCTCCCTGCATAGGCCTCTCTGTGCTTCTGCAGCAGACTGTACCTCTCCCTCCCTCCCTATTAAAACACGGTCAGAGTGAGTGAGACACTGAGTGTTGCTCAGGGGACTGTTCCTCATTCTGAATTACGTGCTACCATTTCTCTGGTTAGGCTTGGCTGGGAGAGAGCAGAGCTTACTGATGTGGGAGAGAGAAGCAGGCTGGTGGTTTGGATGTGAGCACTACTATGCCATCAGTAGAGTTAGAGGGAGGTGAGAAAAGGAGGAAGGATGGGCAGAGTCAAACACGATAAAGCAGGTAAGAGCAATATCCAAATCTCCCTCAAGCATCATGCAGATTTCCCTGTGCTGGAATTTAGCCACTCTTCCAGATTTCTAGAAGTAGATGTAAGGATAATACATTAATCCCCATGTTCTTTAGCATTTGGCTAGTATTTGGTAATTTAAATCACCAGTGACTGGGTAGCTTGAGAAATGTCCCACTGATTTTCTTAGATCTGTCCCTGTGATCTGTCATTCTGAGGTGCTGGAAGAAGCACAGTGACTTAGAGCAGAAGAAATATTGGGGGATTCAAACCAACATACTCATCAAGCTAGGAAATCCTATTTCCTCTGATCTGTTTCTCTTTTTGTCTCCTATCCTTCCATCTTTAGTCTCTTAATTTACATTGTCTTCCATTCATCCTGCATCTCTTAAATCCCCATCTTCATTTCTGCACTCCTCTTTCCTTCTTTACAGATGTCATATGTTGCTTTTCACTTTTCATACACCCCTATACTTAATCTTTTCATATTTCCTAGCCTAGTCATCATCTGAAACAGGAGTTGATGGGATGGATGCTAAAGGGAAGAAGCACTGAAAACCACAAGGAGCCTAGGCAGTAAGGTGACTTCAGTTGGAACAGTGTCTGAGCTTGAGAGACAAATAATTCAAGATAGGGGATCTGTAGAGGATAGGATCAACTTGGTGAGAGAAGAAGTTGGCTGAACTGTTTGGTTACTAGATGGATCTGATAGCTGTAAATTCTATTCTATATGGCCTTATCTGTGCTGGCAGGGTATGTGGAGTTAAATATCAAGAACCTGGAAAAAAGGAGATGGGGCCAGGAAAACATCTTTTCTGGAGAAGAGAAACTCTAGATAAGTGGGAATCAACTCAGAGGGAGAATCAGGTCAAGAGGAATAGGCAAGAGCAGCTGGGTGGGAGGAGGTTGGAGCTAGTTTAGAAGGAGAGATGGAGAACAAGTCTGTTCCAAGACAGAGGGTGTCTAAGTGCTGATGAGCAGGGGTGTGGCATTCAGTGGGGAAAGGAGAATGCAGATGAGAGACTGCATTGCAGAATATAGAAGCTGCCATCGGGAGGAAGCCAAATAAGAAGTGGCAACATTCAAGTTTACTTTTGCAGTCATGAATGAGCCATAGTGAGCTCACTTTGATTTTCTCCCCTGAACTTTTCACCAAGTTTCAGCCCTAAAACATGAAAATTATTTTCCCTTCACAAAAACTTAATAAGTTTATAAGCATTAAATCTTTAAATTTTACCCTGCTAATACTTAGGCCAATAGTGTGAACAAAGTATACTCTAGAGGAAACAATTAGAGGGGAAGTCAAGTCAGCTGACCTTTTAAAGTTGGTAAGCACATTTTTTAAAATATGCTAAGATTTAAAAACCTTGAGGGAATTTGTTTGAATCTGGAGCTTTGTTGTAATTTATTTTAACTCCTGTGTCAGCTACAACAGGCCAAATTATTAAACTGCAGCTATAAAGAGCCAGGCTGTTAAATTAATGATGATTTATAACCTGTGAGCCTATAAAATTAAACTTAAAGAAAAGAAAGCCTTTGAAAAGTCCAGCGGGACGTTCAGTCCTGGTTACTCAGCGGATCAACATTTTTCTTATCATTTTAAAAGCATTAAATTTTTTTAATGGGAAATGCACCCTTTCTCTTAGATTAGTATTCAAGTATATAAATAAACTCATTTTAGTGTTGCTTGAAAACTAAAACATTCTTGTTATTCTTTGTTTGGAGATAGAGTTCCCACCTTGCTCCAAATACAGTTTATGTATGCAGGAGATTGTCCCAATTTACCCCCTTCTTGTGGTTAGGCTTTACTGGTAACTCAAATAACACCAGCAAAACACAAATCTCAGCCCAGTTCTGCACACCACCCCCCCCCCCCCCAATTTCGCTATTCCTAGGGCTTCTCTTCAGGACCTCATCTGTTGCAGCCCCTAGTTCTCTCTGACTCTAAAAAGATGCTAAAGGTATCCTGGTTGGAGTTAACAAGATCCATTTCCCTGCATGAGTCAGTAATAATTATTCTGCAGCTACGTGCATGGTGCTAATATCTGAGTTTAGGGTGACTTGCAGTAGCACAGAGTTCCTACATAGAATCCTAGATCCTGCCAGCCTGTTGTAAAAAATTATAATATTTTACATAAATAATCCAGACCACTGAAATATTGCTCTTGACACTTGCAATGATTTGTAACGTTACAGTAGAATACTGTACTATTTTTTATATAAGGGAATAGTTTCTTTTTCCCCGGAGGACTCTCAGAGGAAGTTAAACATCCGTAACTACCAGGTTAGAGCTATATAGAGAGCTTTACAAATAAAGAAAACTGGGTTTTACATAAATGTGAAACATATCATGTTCTGCTGATGCAAGTGTCACTCTGCTACACCATTAAGCAAATAAATAAATAAATAAAGACTGTAAGTTCTTCTTTCTTAGCAACTATTCTTGTCTTACTTAGCAACAATTCCTGTGAGTTACACTGTGGGAAGATGAGGCAGCCGAAATTCATAGGGCAATATCTGTCTGCAGAAGCATGTATTTGTGGACTTGGTTACCAACCAGTTTCTCAGTAACTCTCAGTGGTAGTATTTAGAGAAGGATGGAGTTAGCTAGTGCATAAATAGTTTTGGGAAATGAGATTTTAACATGGTTTGGCCAAGTATTCATATTGCTATCCTGACAGCTCTTTGCATTTTTGAGAGAATCATCCACTCAGGAAGTAGAAATTAAACCATGTTACAGAGATAACTAATCACAGTGTGAATGCTTATGCATGATGATTATGCAAAGCAAAAATCGCAGCAAATCGTTTGTGACCAGTTCGTAGACTTACATTTGTTTGCTTAAACCATTCATGGAATAATTTTGAATGACAAGCAAGTCCACGGAACTAGAGATGTATATAATTTGTGAACAGAAAAAATGTTAAATTTGTCAAATATGTCATTTGCAGTGAATACTTATTTTGGCTGTATTAAGAACAATGCTTTGCCCCATTCGCACTGGCTGATCAAATCATGGTAGAACCCAGTTTGGCTACAACTGCTGAAGCGCTGTTTTTAACTTTTTATTTTATATTTTTAGCTGGTGTAGCTATGATTTTGATCTGATGTTCTCCCACATACACCTACTATGAGAGGTACTGAGGCTAGTTTGTGAACTACTGAAGCTCCAAAAAAAAGCTCCAACACTGATGAACTATTCTGGTAAGATTTAATATTGAGTAATTTCCAGCCTTCTCCAAAGATCTCACACTTAGTGCTACTATCTAGCTAGCTAGCTGTCTATTTTAGGATTTTATTCTGCTGCCCATCTCTGTAGTATCTGAACATCTTCAATGTCATAAGAACAGCCTTATTGGGTCAGACCAGAGGCCCACCTAGCCCAGTATCCTGTCTTCTGACAGTGGCCAATGCCAGGTGCCCCAGAGGGAATGAACAGAACAGGTAGTCATCAACTGATCCATCCCCTGTTGCCCATTCCCAGCTTCTGGCAAACAGAGCCTAGGGACACCATCACTGCCCATCCTGGCTAATAGCCATTGATGGACCTATCCTCCATGAACTTATCTAGTTCTTTTTTGATCTCTGATATAGTCTTGTATGTCACATCAACATCAATAGCAAAGTCCCTACTGGATTTTGTGGTGCTTCTGGCACTTTGAGGGTCAAAATTCTTCTTGGGGTTGGATTTTTTGTTTAGATTTTTTCAATAATTGTATTCATTTCCTCATTTGGAGGTGGGGCTGGGCATTGGCCGTAGAAGGGGGTGTCAGTGTTGGGTCTACTGATCCTGTTGAAAGAACTTTAAGTACACAGTAACATTCTCCAGCATTTTCCATCTCTCCCACTGACCTCGAGCTGTCTTTTCTTCCTAGACAGGCATTTACAAGCACCATTCTCCCCCCCAACCCTCCCCATGGTGTAATTGCATGACCCTTGCACCAGCAAATCATGTTTTCATCTGTGTATATAAATATAAATATATATAAATATATATATATATATACATATATATATGTGTGTGTATATGTATCTGTGCATATACATATATCTTATGTGTGTGTGTATATATATTTAATATACATATGTGTGTGTGCGTATACTAGTGTTCTTTATCTGCAAAAATTCTTTACAAAGCTCTAACCTGCTAGCTGTGGATATGCAAAATGATCACATTCAACCTCACTGTAAAATGCTTGAGAAATACTTGCAAAAATATTACAGAGATGTAAACATACCAGGAGACCTGGGTGCTATTCCCAGCTTTGCCACTAACCTGCTGGGTGACCTTGGGAAGTCACTACACCGCTCTGTGCCTCAGTTTCCCCTGCTGTAAAATGGGGATAATGACACTCGCCTCCTTTGTAAACCACTTTGAGAGTTACTGATGAAAAGCACTAGATAGGAGCAAGGTATTATAATTACTAATTGTCTCATTTCTTGTCATCTTTGCCTTTCTGTTTGAATAATAATATTGGTCATTTTCTCTGGTTTACTGGAGATGAGGGAGAAAAGGAGCGACTCAAATTAGTTTAAAGTAAAAAGGACTCATATTCAGGTCATCATGATTATTTGATTCCCTCAGAGTTTGTGAGGATTTGTGGTGGATTTTCTCGTCACAGCTCCTCAGGCACTGACCACTGCTGGGTCATGGAGTCAGTGATATTTAGCTAGTTGTCTAATTCCAGTGAAAATTTTAAGCAACTTAATTTAGTTTTTCATTAATATATAAAAGAAACAACAAAAAATGCTGACAGCTTGTACTGAAACGAGTGCTACAGATCCAGCTCCACCAGGTTGCTTATTATTCAGTTTAACAAGTTACACATGGATTGTTTTTTCTCATTATCACTCACCCTTTGGCATCATTGTTCATATTGTCCAACATGTGCTTGATGTTTTCCAACCACAAGGAAGACAGTCCCAGTCCCGAACACCATACAGTCACTTTCTCCGTGGTCTAAGTATTCTTCTTGTGCCTCTCTCTGGCTCTTCACAAATTCCTGTGAAGACTAGGTTGTTAATGCTAGTTTTTGGCAAAAGTACCATCAACTTCAGTAGGCCAGGATTTCACCCCATGTAAGAGGAGGGGACCCTCTTAAAGTGTGCCTGCTTGTAGTGGTCTCACCCTTTGGTAACTGACCTAGCAAGAAGCTATCAGAGGTGTGTATTTAGCCCCAGAAATTTTCCTTTACTCCTAATATTAGAATTGCCAATTTGAAGTCAGGGGATCAAGTTATAATCCTAGATACATGGTATTTTGAACTATACCATGTGGCATTAATGAGCACCCAGGAGTGTAACACTCAGACCCACCAACTCCCCCACTGCAATATCATCAAAAATAGAAATGGATCTGAACTGCAAAATATGAATCTGGATCTGAATTGTCACAAAGTCATAATTTTCCCATCTTCCATAATGACATTTTGGCAATGAGACCTCTTTTGAAAAGAAACAAATTACTTTTTCTTGTATCAAATAACTAATGCACTCTGGAACGATTAAAGGCACAACAAAACCTGCCAATCTCAAACAACCAATCACAAATGCCCAAACTCCAGATTTTGTAACTGGGTCCTTTTTTTACAACAGGCTGAACTAAAATCCCAGATTCAAACCCTTTGTTTGTACTTCGGGCGATCTTTACAATACAGGTCAACTATTATATTTTAGGCCCACATCTAGATCTTACTTTGACTGCCCTTTTGTTAATATTGAGCTAAAGCAGGGGTTCTCAAACTTCATTGCACCGCAACCCCCTTCTGACAACAAAAATTACTACACGACCCCAGGAGGGGGGACCAAAGCCTGAGCCTGCCCAAGCCCCCCCCCCCCCCCCAAGGGTGGGGGGCCTCTAACCTGAGCCCCACTGTCCAGGGCTGAAGCCAAAGCCTGAGCCCTGCTGTCCAGGGCTGAAGCCA